AGCCTCGACCTCCTGGGCTCCGGTGATCCTTCCGCCTCAGCCTTCCAAGTAGCCAGAACTTCAGGCATGCGCTACCATGCCCGGCTGATTTTTTGATTTATTGTAGAGATGAGGCCTCGCTGCCCAGGCGGGTCTCGAACCCGTGGGCTCAGGCAATTCACTCACCTCAGCCTCCCAAAGCGCAGGATTACAGGCCAGCTTGTTTTCCTTTTTTGATTGACCTTTCAGGACATCTTGTGTTCCTAGCAACTCTGAGATGACTTTCCTCCATTCACTAGAAGCAGCTGGGTCAGTGCTTTCTGGTGTTGCCATGTTCTCCAAACACTGGTTGGCTTCACAGGCCTTATTCCCATTCCCCCGCCCACCCACTCCCCTGCCCCAAACACCTTATTGTCTCTAGGATGCTAGACACTTAAAATCTGATGCGGGTTTGTGATCCAGGTCACAATCAGAATTAACGTCTTATCCCTTTCTGTTCCCTCTGCCCTTGACGGTCTCTGCTCCAGATCAGTGTTTTTCAAACTGTGGTTGCAATCCCTTGGTGGGTGTGGCCAGCATTTTCTAAATAAGGAGAAGAGAATAAAGTCAAATGGAAAATAGCAGAGCGCATTGCTCACAGTGTAGGTAAGCGTTGTTTTCTTGCAATTGTCTGTGCGTGTGTATTGAGCGCCATGTAAAATATATCCCACAGCGAGTTGTAGTCAAAGGAGTTTGAGAGCCATTGCCCTTGGTTATATCAACCTAGTGTCAGGTGGGCCAGCCTGGGGAAGGACCCACGTTCACATTTCCTTCTGGCAAGGGAATAAGGGCAGAGATTATTGAGCTCCTGCCAGGCAGGGAGGAAGACCAGGAAGACCGTCAGCATAGAGAAACAAGGGTTTATTCCGTTGGAGAAGCAGCTAAGCCAAGGGCCTGCCGTTGGCCTGGACTCTACAGTCACAGAAGGAGCAGGAGGCAGGTGGAGGGAACAGCAGAGACCCAGGTGCAAGGCATTGTGGGAGAGGAAACCTTTAGGACTTGAGACCAGTCCTACAACACACGCGCTGAGTGGGCCCCTCTCCTTTCCTTCGGAGGGTAGAGAGGAAGCTGAGAAAGGTAAGGCCAGGTGTCACAGGGAGCCCCTTGCTTCCTGGTTCTTCTCTAATCCAATCTGTCCCAGCCCAAGGGTCCCCACTCCCTGGTTTGGCTTAGTTAAACCGCCGTCTTTCTCTACCTTAATCCATGGCTTGAGAGACTCAGACCTGCCAGAAGGACACTCAGGGGTCTGCCTTCTGAAGGTTTGGACTCTTCTCTTCACAGTGAAGTTGAAGAGCCCCTGACTTTTTGCTTCGGCAAAGCCTGGCAGTGGGTAGAGAACCACTGGTTCCAGGTTGAGGCAAGCGTCAGCTCAGGGGACCAGAGACAAGGGGTAGGAAGAAGGCCAGGTGGGGTGGGTAGTTCTAGAAGTAAGAAGGAATGCCGGGTAGGTCAGGGCTGAATGCTGACAGCCTCACCATCCTGCCCACCTTGCAGCTCTTGGACTCACACCCCGGGGCTCAATGGGTGCAAAAAGCAATGGAGAAGCATAAATAGAGTCAGTGTCAGAGGGATTTGCACAGTGTCATCAAACAACAGCTGGCTTCAAATATTTTCAGCCCAAGAAAAGGTTACGAATGAAAGCGCTCGGCCTGGGGAGCCGGACATTCCTGTGCTCACTCACTTTCTCTGCTGAAGAGGCAGACATCAGAGGGTCCAGGGGCCCAGCTGGTGAGCCCCAGAAGGTGAGAGGAGAGACACGGTGGTGCGGACCAGTGAGCAGGGCTCAGGGTGGAGCCGGTGGCGGGCGGGGCCGGCGGTTGGCCGCAGCCTTTGACTCAGGCCGGTCCCTGCCGTGCCGAGGGCCATGCAGGCAGCCACTTGCTCAGGTCCCTTTCTGCCATCCTGACTTGGCTTTGCTCTTCTTGGGAGAGGAATGAGAAGGAACAGGGAAGTCAGGGCCTGGAATCACGGGCCTCTGGCAAAAATTCCTCACGGCGGTGGGACAGGCCGAGAGGCGGGGAGGAATGTGGCCGGCCAGCTGGCTGGGGTGGTGATGAGAGGGCCGGACACAGTAGTCCCCAGCTAGCTGGCTCCGGGAGCCCTCATGCCCCAACAGCCCTGCCCCCAAGGCAAGGTCTCTCCCCCTGGGGACTGACTGGGACAGCGGTCACTGGCCAGGCTCTTGGTGCAAAGGCAGGAAGGGCAGCTCCGAGAACGGGGCCGTCAGTCTCAGCACTCCACGCTCCAGGTCGATGCAGCACTGCACGGGTGGAGCAGAAACACGAGGTCACCTCAGCAGGTCACCTGTCTGCCAGCCCATGCTGTGTTCCCCCTCCCTCTTCCTAAGGCTTCCACCCGCTCTGTGTTCTTCCTGGTTCCCATCCCCAAGACCCTTATCGGTGGAACCCAGTCCTCTTGGTATTTTTACTTGTGGAGCCTGTGTGTGTGTGTGTTGGAGTCTCAGTCATCCAGGCTAGAGTGCAGTGGCACACTCACAGCCACCACAGCCTCGACCTGCTGGGCTCAGGTGATCCTTCTGCCTCAGCCTTCCAAGTAGCTGGAAGTATAGGTGTACCCACCATACTCCGGCTAATTTTTTGGTTTATTGGAGAGGTGAGGCCTCGCCATGTTGCTCAGGTTGGTCTTGAACCCGTGACCTCAGGCAATCCTCTCACCTTGGCCTCCCAAAGTGCTGGGATTATAGGCGTGAGCCACCACGCCCAGCCCGGCTAAGGATCTTCGAAGGAAGAGATGGAACACTGCCCTTCTCCAGGTCTCTCGTGAAGACCTGGCCCGGCCTCCACACCTGCGCCTCCTACCTGCCTTCCCATCCCTCCAGTCAGGGCTCACTGGGCATCTTACCTTGAGAGAGAGCAGCGTCTGCAGGCCCAGACAGAACTCGGGACTCTCAGCATCTGCGGGAACCATTGGGAGACAGAGGATGCTGGCGGTGTCCAGTGGGTACCGCTGCCCTCTAAGCCCTTACCCCTCCTCCGCCCACCTCATCTCCAAGGTCTGAGGGTGTTGGCTCAGGGGCTGGCGATAATCAGAGCATCTCTGGGGACACCTGGTGTGGCCGGGGGCTGAAAATCTCTGCCTCTTCCCCACCCAGAAGAGAAGGGCAGGAGAGGTGGGAAGCCAGAGGGAGGACTTACCCACCACCCGGGCCGAGCATGCCACCGTCTCCTGCCCCAGCTGTAGCTCTAGCTGTTCCACTTGGGCCGGGGATCCCGGCGCCAGGTCCCCCACTGGGGCTTTTAGGACCCTCTTCCCTAACCTGTGGTTGGGAAGCAAGGGTTATGACCTCCACAGCCCCACCCCCGCCCCCATTAACCAGCAGGTGCCCCTCTGCATTATACTCCCCCAACCCCTGGCCCCACATGGATCTAAACCTCGTCTTCTCTGCCAAGGTCTCCTAGTCACTCTTTTTTTTTTTTGAGTCGGGGTCTCAC